TCATTCTATACTTCTTAGTCGTCATTGCTATTTTACAAATCTCTTGATTATGTAATAACTTGTTGCTTAAGCCTAAGAACTAACTTCCCTTGAACTCCGTTGTTATTTAACTTTCACCCACCTCCAAAACGTAGATATATAGTTATTGACATCTATTAGTTAATCGTTTGGATGACTTTTAACCTCTTAATTTCATCCCTCCCGTAAGCTAAAAACTGATCACCTAAAACAACCACTTGGTTGGTAAAACAGTTTTGGATTTAAAATATCATATATTAGTGTTGATCCGATGGTGAGGATCTGAGTGAAAAGGAATGCATGTTTCTTCGCTCAAACAGCTGGCTTTTCCTGGTTCGTTCGATTTCATCATTTAAATCTTCTGACTTACTAGTTAGGCTCTTCGCACTATTAATTAAGTGAAGAGGCAGACAGGCTAACCACTGAATCTTTCTTCACCGAATAAACACGAAATACGTGCAACTGAAATGATGCAATGCCTATACCGGATATATAGAAAATTGCAACAAACACCAAGAAGACGATAGAAGAAACTTACAGAGAAAATTATGAAGCCGAATTAATAAATTGTGCTTGAAACGTCATCCAGTTATAACAAATAAACTTATCTAATATGGAGTTTCTTTGAGATAACATTAGCAGCGTTATAGATCTGTTAAACCACAGGCTGCTGAACAGATGCGCCATCGTAATACATCTTTTTTCATACTCATACTACTTACAATTTATTTGCCATAAGTAGTATATTGATAGCATACTATAATAACTCAACAATAAGAGTACTTTTATTAAGTAAATTAGATTTCACCTGTTTACGCTACTCATTGTGTTATTATTTCTACCCTTTGATGCATTAGAGAGAGAGATAGTAAAAAAAGATTGTTTTTGTCTATGATTATTCATGCAGATAATCTCACACTCTTCGGTGCATCGATGTCATGTCTGATTATTATTATCATTATCGTTATTATTATTATTATCAGCTTTTAATCTATAGTGCATTTGAAGCGTGAAGCGCACTTGAATACACTAATAGGTTGCATGAATGCCAAGGATTGAGTTATGCCTACTACTGGGAGACTCATCTACACGCTTCGAACATTTCGCTTAACATCTCTCATCATCTTCATCAACATTATTATTGTCAAAAATGTCAAAGGTTTGTATTAAAATACTTGTAATAATGGATGAATAGTGCCTCCTGTGCTGTGTTTCCTCATTTTTATTTGTTCCCTGGCAGACTCCATTAGTGTGGTGTATGTGTAGCGGACATGTGGAACAGACTGAGTGCAACATATCTTGTCATGTTGAAAAGCGGATTTAGTGTTGTTTTTTGAACATTAATTATCGATGTCTTCGCGGAATCATTTTTCTAGTTGACCAGCTAATTGTTTAATTCTTTTCACCTAGGATGGGACATCGAGTCCTCAATGGTGGAGTCTTCGGTAGAAATTCATGAAGTGCAGTTTCGATCCCTGAGGTATTCTCTAACCTCATTTACGACACTAGACGGTTGTGAGACCGGAAAAGTCAAGCGAAAGTTGAGTGAGTAACTAGCCGCCACAACCGATGAAAGCAAAACCACCTCCATTGAAACTCCAGAGTTTGAAGGCGTGAGAAATCAAGAGGATAGATAGAATGAAAACTGAAAGAAAGGTAACTAAAGTGTTAGTGAAACTAAGGTGAAAGTCACCTTTTGTAGTGTAGACTGTTGAATACTAGGCCAGTTACAAATGCACTGATTTCCTGAGATCAGTAATTATGCTGGCTACTCTCCCAGTCTTGATTAATTGTTATACATAATAATTATTATTGATTTTATTCCTTTGCGTCACGTGTGGAAAATGAGGATACAAGCTTCCGCACTAAATTTTCAGTACAGCTGGTTTTTAATTTATGAGATGGAGTTGTTGACGTCACGCGTAACCTTCCCTCTATACCAGATTGACTACCAGATAATAGAGGTTAATGTGTGCTTCAGGTGGGAATCGAACCCCTGATCACGTCCATGGTTATTGACCATTCTGCCGAGTTTGACTGGTACTTCAGATAATGAAAATTATTTTTAAGATATTCTTGTAGTGCACCTTGAATGTTCGATTTTTAATTTTTAACGCATACATGTACTATGGCGCTACGCCATCTTTATTTTTCCTGCTTGACTGCTCACACGTGGCTCGCTCCCTCATTGAGGTATCATTAAGCGCACTACTCGAGCTTGCTACCACAGCCTGTCGACAGATAAGTTATATAATATACTACCTATTAGGTTTGGTTTCTCAGTTGTTGTACAAATATAATTAATATCAGGGCACATGTCAGTGCATAAGCCTTCTATCTGGAATGGATTCATCAGTACATACACGGTTGGTAGTGTACTGATGAGGAAAGCAGGCTAAGTAGGTGCTGACGTTAAGACCTATGTAGAGGTCGACATTGGTACTTACACTGGCATCATAAAATTCTTATTTGTCAACTTATTTATCGCAGAAGGGGTTAGATTTTAGTTCCTTTACACGCCAGTACTATCGAAATTTTGAACTCGTTATTCACATAACTTTCATTATTACTCCTTTCTCTTTCATGGGTCTTCAAGACTCATTAGAGACTTAACACAGATTCTTAATAAGGCTCTGATAAGAGTGGTAGTTAACCAACTGACTCGCTCAGAAAAGAAATTATCAGTTTAAGTTTAATTAGGAAAAATAATATGGTTTACCAGATACTATCTAAGAGGACTTTGAGGTCATTTACCTAGGTCTGAGACGTAAATGTGGGTCAGTTAGATGACTGGAACATAGAAATTTAGCTAGGTGTAGGATGACTAATCTGTACAAACCAGCTCGACCATGACACTAGGATCATATAGGGTGGAAATATTAGGGAATGAATATAGCTAGGTAGGTTGAAAGGTTAATCATTGAATTTCAGTTTGTCAAATCAACAGCAAACAATTGCAGTTGAGATGACGCAGTGCCTACATCGCATATATGGACAGTTATAATAAAAAACGGCAAGGAGTAATACTATATAAAACAAATTTCCAAGTCGTATGAACAGGTTGATATGACTTTGAGCGTCAGTTTGAGCTGTACAGGTCATCCAGTTATCAATACTCCATCGCTGTGGGTTATATCACATAAACGTATTCAATATAGAATGATATTCTACAAAGGTAGTTAAATTGTACTCTTGAATTTATCCAGTTTAAGTCCATTGCTTTCGTTCTCAGCTTTCAGCAGGAATAGTACCTTTTGAATAACAAATTTCGCGTGAGATGATATCGTCGTTTCGTAGTTTCTCCACTACCCCTTTACACAACTAACATGGTTTACAATAATGAAATAAAATACATGACAGTTACTCAGTTATATATAACAAAAGTACATACTAATAACCAGTCATATTTAAATAGGTCAAGTTGCCGGTCCATGGTAGGCGAAGGAAGGTTGAAGTCTATTATTTTTTGTTCACACATAGTTTAGGATCGATATGGTTATAAGATTTAATAGTGTGAAGTATTCTTATACGAGAGGAATTAAAAGTCAATCTGAACGAAGAATATTCTTTTCAATAATTTCCCCGATTCAGGTTCTTACAATTATAAAATAGAAATTTTTTTATTTCCTTCACCTTACCCAGTGGAACATAGAGCTTCAAGCTAGTGGCTTGAAGTTTCTGTAGCAGTGCTTATTTTACAGGATGGGGTTGCTAGCCTCATGCCCAACCTTTCCTCTTCACCAGCGTTACTTCTGGGTTAGCGAGGTAAAGGAGAGCGTCGGCCGGAGATTGAACCCCGGACCATGTGCATGGTCGGCGAGCGTCCTAACCACTATGCCACCGACGCACATAAAATAGAATAATGGCCAATTATGCGGCGGATACATTTTTTTATAACTTAGAATAACAGATTAGTTGTCATAGGGTGACAAAATAAATAGTCGTATTTGTGTGACAAACGTGCTAGGCTGAAATCGATTACAAAATATTGTGAAATGGGAGACAATGGTGACGGTGATTAGTCATAATAGATTTGTAGAGTGTGGGGTAGGAAAACTGACTGGTCAATTTTTTCTGTCCCACACTCTACGAATCTATTATGACTAATCACCACTATTGTCTCTCATTTTGCAATATTTTGTAATCGATTTCAGCCTAGCACGTTTGTCACACAAATACGACTATTTATTTTGTCACCCTATGACAACTAATCTGTTATTCTACGTTATAAAAAAATGTATCCGCCGCATAACTGGCTATCATTATTGTAACGACAACAAATATTCTATTTTATAATTGTAAGAACCTGAATCGGGGAAATTATTGAAATGAATATTCTTCGTTCAGATTGACTTTTAATTCCTCTCGTATAAGAATACTTCACACTATTAAATCTTATAACCATATGCATCCTAAACTATGTGTGTACAAAAACAATAGACTTCAACCTTCTTTCGCCTACCATGATGGACTACTCGACCTATTCAAATATGACTGGTCATTAGTATGTACTTTTGTTATATATAACTGAGTAACTGTCATGTACTTTATTTCATTATTGTAAACCATGTTAGTTGTGTAAAGCGATTGTGGAGGAACTACGGAATGACGATATCATTTCACGCGAAATTTGTTTTCTAAATGCCTTATTCAAATTTATGAAAGGGACTGACTGTTTTAATACCACTTTTTGTTTTAATGATATGACAAGAATAGGACTGTCAGACTCATATTCGCCCTTCGCTCCTTCCCAGGCTTACTATAGACCAGTTGACTAGAAGGAGTTTGCACCTGTCTAGACGTAAAATGAAACTATGACCTTCTGTGTGACCGAAGAGCATTCTTTCATTGAACAACTAACTCATTCATCTGATACTCAGATTGAGACTAGCAATATCATCTCTGAATTGGGAGAATATTATAATTTTTAAAAGTTTATAAATCATAAAAAATGGGCTAACAAATTTTCCATAGTGGCTTACCTTTTATCTGGTTTCAGTGCAACTCCATTTTTTAACCACATTATCTGATGAACTGTAGGTCTAGGAATACTGTACACTAAACAGAATAATTTCGCTGAGTTCTCATCATAGCTGATGATTTGATCAGTTTTCACAATTTTTGGTGATGCTGTAAAATAAACAGAAAACAACCGATAGATAGAAAGATAGATAATTAAAGGTTGTTAAATTATTTATTATAATATTATTGTTTCCTTTAATTCCTAGAGGAACATAGGGCTTCAGCTGCGCGTCTCCATTGCGTTTGGTTCTCTGCTAGAGTCTTCACCTGGCTCCAAGTCTGCCCACACGTTTTCATCTCCTCTTCACATCACCTCCTCCAAGTCACCCTTGCTTGCACTGACGACCAACTCGCCGCTTCCCTTTCGGGTTCCACTCGAGCAATGGCTTGTCTAGTGATGTCACTTGATGGTTTCCTCAGAGTATGGCCACTAATCCACCTCCATTTCTTCCTGCTGATTTGTTACACAATCGGTTCCTGTTTGGTCCGCTCCCAGAGATCTCTGTTGCTGATCTTTTCTGGCCGGCCATCTGATCTTGAGTATTGAGCGAAGACAACTGTTAATGGAGGTCTGTAGTGTGCTTGAGGTGCTCTTTATGACGCGCCAAGTCTCTGATCCGTATAGTAGCCCTGACTTCACATTGGAGTTGAAAATCCGGATCTTATTTTTGATGCTGAGTGTTGTTGACCTCCACACGGACTTGAGAGTTGTGAAAGCTCGTCTTGCTGTTCCGATTCTTGCTTTGATATACTTGAAACGATGCTTCCTAGGTAGGTAAGTGAAAGAGGTTATCCCTTTCAGGCTCCTTCCATTTATGCAGATCATTGTCTGTTGTTATTGTTCTTGTCCAGGAATCTTCATCACCTTTGTTTTCTCTATGTTAAGGTGCAATAAATTATGTATTCTGTGAGTTTGTCAGTGAAAGATAATCAGAAATAGATGGCACATACTACTTACTTGTCAGTCACTAGTGCACACTATGAAGCTGTTTCGCTTACTTTCAAGGTTGCCATTTATGATAGTAAGCATCTTACATATTTGGGGTCAACAAATGAAATCTTGATGAATTTTCAACTTGAAGTTACTTTATACATTCCTTCTTCACTGCATCTGGAATGTAATTTTGATTGGGACAACTCCTGTCTTGAATTTCTTTGAACTACAGCATATTATGTCTGCAGGAGAAATCTAAAGGATGTCATCTTTTTTGCCTATCTAGATAGCATCATTTCAACCACGTACAGCATAGATAAGGACTTAAAAACCAGAATTGGAAAGGCTAGAAAGATTTGAAGTCGACTTCACTTAGCATAAGGAAAACAATTGGGAACCTTACCACTAATGCCAGTGAAGTGCTTCTATCTGGTCCAATGAGTTGGCGTACGTACAACGAAAGGCATTTGTGGCAGGCTACTGAAGACTTTCATCGATACTTGACGTCGCTATATGCTGAATATCATATGTCTTGAAAGGATGAGTAATAAGGGACTGTGACAAAGAAAAAACCAAGAATCTATCACCCAAAAAGTAGGCAGAAGAAAATGCAGACGGGAGAGACATACACTGAGACTTCTGAGTAATAGTTTGCATCGTACCTTGGAGTGGAACCTGGGTGGGAAACGACGAGTAAGGAATAGGTCAGAGAATGAAGTGCACGAGATTATTTTAGGAGGAGATGACAGCTTGTTTGGAATCTTGGAGCTAGCTAGCCAAGAAGAAATTTATTAGACAGATTGAAATGAAGATTAGCTGCTGAAACCCTTAATTGCAAGGGAATAATAATACATGCAGGGTGCCCACGAATGTGCTGCAATGGCACAGCAAACACCCACACCCAGTAATCTAACCAGCCGATGTGCATATAACTTTACCGTTCAATGTTAAGTTATAAAGTATGATCACTAAACGGACCTTGAAGTGGATCTATGTTCAGACGACGAAATTTATGCTATCCTGTAAATACTCACACAATTAGAGCTGTAGTGCCATACCCAGTTGTGTATACTGCTTGAAATGTACATGTGGATATGCACACAGATATACACAGATAGTCGCCGTCCTAGCAAACGTACATAACTCTGAAGACTATGTTGGCGAAGATTCGAAGTCTAGTATCAACCAAGTGTGTTAGAGTCGAGCGTTTTATGCATCTGACTTCCTCCTTGCTGAACCATGCTGGTAAATGTTATCGAACTCCTAGACGAACCTACGTAACTTCAACTAAGGGGACAGTTAAAACGGTATATATACATGAAGAAGGGTTAAAGTTAGTCAACACATATCTTTCATTTTCTGGGTGAACAATGGACGGCTACTGAAGAATGAGGAGAGATTTTCAGGGTAGAAAGTCTTCTTAATCTCCTCACAGGTATTCCTCTTGATTTGTAGACGTAAAATAATAATAGCTTGCTGATGTTTGTTATTAAAATCATATGTTCTTGATTTTTATACAGTTCCCTGGATATCTATTTCAGTTTAGAGTACCGCCAATAACTTGTGGTTTTCTCTCTAGTAAAAATATATTTCGTAAATATAAGAACCTGGAGAAAATTTGTTGAAAATAATATTCTCCTTTCAGATCAACTTTTAATATTATCTTGATCTGTAATATAAACTTTAATGTTGATTTCACAATGTTTTATAAACCAAACAGTCCATTATATAATCTGTATGGGAAAGCATTTATTTCCCCCTCTCTCTCTCTCCACAAGGATGCACGTTCCACTCACATATCCATAACGAGTACACTACCTAGATTGTATAAAGACACGATTGAATTAACCCTTGTTATTATTACTATTGTTATGATCACCTCAATTGTCATCCACAAATTCCCATGCCTGAACTCTAACTCTGCCAACCTGAGACTATGACAACACGTAAGAAATCCTACTAAATTACAGTTTAATGGTGACTTGTCAAGTGAGATCTTATTCCAGGGACTTTCCCGGAGTATACGAAGAACATTCTAAGCAGCAAAGTTATGTTTGTCATTCTCTAGCCGAAAAAAATGGTTGGGACGCAAACGAAGGATGAGCTAGATAGCTTTGCCATATCTATGTGCATTTGTCAATTCAGCTGCACCTGCAGTGACAGTTATGTTGGGCGTACTACTAGACAGCTTAGTTAAACTCGTGTTACTGAACATCTCCCACTGTGTGGATTTGCAAAGGACAGCCAAAACTATCCGTAGCTTCAACTTGTCAAATTTAGTTGATAGTGGTCATATAGTATGGAAAATGAAAGCTTTCAAGGTAATTCATCTCATCCCACAGAATCTTTCCAATAGACTTCATATTGGTCTACCGCACACAGCTGAGGCGATAGGCATTTGAACTGTTAAGACCAAACTATGCATTCAAAAGAAGTTCGTGCACAGCCATTATCCCTCCCTTGGCCTATTAAAACCTAACCAACTAATAAAATCTACACCACACCTTACTTATCTTTTCAACCCCCCCCTTATCATCTCCTAAGCTTATCACATCTTCATTCACATGTATTTTATTTACTTTCCCCATAGTCTAGCATTGTTGAATCAGTTCATTTGTTTTTCTTAGCCTTTATCAACTACTTCTACCTGAACATTTGTTTATTTAATCATACTGTTTTTGGTCATTCTTGTTATCACAGGTCGCCACAGTTTTCCATCCTTGTTATTGATGGAATCACTATTTTTCATTATTACGACTAAGTGCACACTTTGTATGCACAATCTTATTATCCTACTTACAAAACCACAAGATTGGTTTAGATATTTTAACATTTCTTTGTAGCGTTAAGCATATTAAATTCTGATGAGATCCAACTGAAAACAATATTTTTCGCTTAAAGGTGCTTCAATTAACCACGCTAGTTCCGGATGTTTATGATCATAAATGCTTAGTTTTCTTATTTCTATTTATTTCCGTTCTCATTCCGTCCACATTTGTCTTCGCTGTAAATTGACAAAAGCATCAACGATAGGACTTCAGGTGGATATATTGAAAACAGAGCTGATGAAGATTCCTTCTGTTCAACAGCAACAAAACAACAACAGACAATAATCAGCATAAATATGAGAAATCTGAAAGAAGAAACCTCCTTCACCTACCTACCTACCTATCTACCTGGGAAGAATCACTTCAACTGCAGGCAGGCGGAACTGATGACGATGTCACAGCGCGAGGATCGGGAAAGCAAGACAAGCTTTCATCAACAGCACTTAGCATGAAAAATGTGGTCTGGATTTTCAACTTCACTGTGAAATCAGTGCTACTATACGAATTAGATACTTGGCCCCACGTCGCGAAGGAAACTTTAAACAGACTACACACCTTCATCAACAGCTGTCTTCACTCAGTACTACTGAAGATCAGATGGACGACTATAAAAGATCAACAACAAGAATCTCTTGCAATGGACGAACCAACCTAGCAGGAAGCGATTGTGCTACAAATATGCAGGGAGAAATGGAGGTGGATTGATGGCCATACTCTGAGGAAACGAAGCATCAGGAGACATCACGCGCCAGGCCATCGCTTAAGTGAAAGCCGAATAGGTAGTGGTGAGTTAGTTTGTCGTTAGTGCGACGGTGACATGGAGAATGTCATGTGAAGATGAGACGAAAGTATGTGGGCAGATGTGGAGCCGAGCAAAAACGTTGGCGGAGAATGGAACACAATGGATACATGTGGCTGAAGCCCCATGTCTTTTTCTAGGAAGTACAAGAAACTAGAACAATGATAATCTTTTTTGTTTATTACATAACTGTTTTCTAATCCCGTGTAATTTTGTTTCTAATCTCATATTAAGTAATCTTTATTCACACCTCGAGATTTTCACATCAAGTTGAAAATTATAATCACGTTTAATCTCCCCTGCTATTATGTGGAATTAAGTAATAATTGTATCTGTGTGAACTTGTGCATTTATTATTGAATGTTTGAAGCAGTTTTCAGGATAAAATTACGGAAAAGATTTTCATCTTTCCTCAGCTTCTTGTTCTTTCCCCTGTAATATCCTGATGGGTATATTTCCCACAATTTTAAGTAACATTCGAAACCAATGGACTGTTATCCCAACTTCTACTTGTACACCACAATACACTTTCTGATACAATTCTGACCCGTCTACACTGGCCAATGTATTCTAAATTTCAAGAATTTTTTAACTCTAAACCCTGGAGAAGAAATTATTACTTCTGTAAAACCCAATTAGTTTCCCTGCTTACCTGCTTGTCCAACATAGATTGCACGATAAATCGGTGGATAACCACGACTTTGAGCAACACATGCGTAGAAACCAAAATGTAAGTGGGTTGACAAATGAAGTTTGTATGAAACATGCTTCACTTTAGAAGCTAACAGCTAAAACACAAAGAAATAGAATGAAGTATATATTCAAGAACGATAAATCGTAAAATAATATAAATCTTTTTTGTAATTTGACGATAATAATAAAAAAATTACAAACAGGCGGTGAATAGGATCCTTTATTGGACAATTTGAGAATGAATCTATGTGTCTAGATCCAAATACATATTGTCTGACTGGCAAAACCCCGCCTGTTCTCAACTCTCCCTGCCGTGCATCTCATCAGGTTGGACTAGAAGTTATTATAAGAGATTACAGGTTCGTATAACCACGTACAGGAACTCAGTAATACCATATACGACCTGCCTTCTACGGCTTACTATGTAATTAACGAACTAATTAGTCCTTTTATTCCCTCCTGTTTGTAATCTATGCTGGTAGTGTTTTAATTACTTTACAATTTTAGCTATTAACATTGCTGCCATTAGTTTACACCTTTCGTGTATTTCTTGACTTTATTGTCGCCGTAAATACTAAAAACACTGCTATTATCACTCCTGCGGATCCTGTGGAGGCTTTAAAACAAAACAATTTAGTTTATCTAATACCCTACATACAGTGATTGTCAGGTCATAAACATGAGTCAAACTAGTAGAACAGGGGCAGTCAGCCTAGCCGAACATAAAAACCTAGCAAAATCTAGATTGGTTGACTCGAATAAGATAGGAAATCTAGAGAATAGTTCAGCTATACCACTCACTACATACAATTAAACACAACCATACAAAAAGATAGGATTGGATAGGATGACAGTTTTAAAATCCAATGTAACAGGTTGGAGGGAGAGAATGATAACGGAAGCTTTAATTATCGAATCAACTGACATGGAATGCGTGTAACAGGAATAATTCAACACCTGTCCCAGATATCTGGAAAGTTCTACTACCCCTACGGCGAATAGGAGAAAACAAAGAAAACTTTAAGACTCAAGTTTCGAAGTCGTGTCATTATAACTGATGTGATTATGACTAATAAATTTTGTTGGAAACGTCATCTAGTAAATAACACTGTGATACATATAATAAACAAACTAATATGAACCTTGTAACATTATTTTTTTGCTGTTGCTGAGTAAATTCAATGCAATATTGTACCGAATGCTAAGAATTCCACACGGTATCACAAGCACAGTTATGGAATAAAGCATATTATTAGTATTGACATCAGTAACATGCGTACACCTGGCCTCACTAAAATTACAAATGTCTTCCCACTCATTTTATGAGCAGGCGAATTTTCCTTAGTTAAAATCGTATACTAGATGGTTGGAGGCATTCGGCAGGAAGCTGTGGATCTGGGTTTCTTGCTAGTTGGCACTCACCAGTCACCAAGGCGTATCCGCAACCTTGAAGGAACTTATGTCCCTCCTGAGATTCGACCCATGTTACCCAGGGCTGCAGCCAGAGACTTTACCACTGAGCTATTCCGGCTCACGACTGACCTCCAGTAGGAGTGTAGTGGAAATTTTGATTGGATACTATTAACTAGTGTGATGTGTCAAATCCTTTTTTGGTGCAGACTGAATTCTATCAGTCAGGTTTGTAATGTGATCAGCATTCTAGGTGGCTGGCTCAGTGGTGACGTCTCTGACTGCAGCAGTGGGTGAGGTGGGTTTGAATCTCAGAAAGAACATGAGTTCCTTCAAGGTTTCAGATACGTCTTGCAGACGAGCGCCAACTAGCGCGGAAACTAGGTCCACGGCTTCCTGCAGATTTCCTTCAACATTCTTATATCATCAAATCAATGTGCACCGTGATGGCGAGCTACCCAGAATGGTGGCCACATTGCAAACCTGACTGATAGAATTCAGTCTGCAACAAATAAAGGACTGGACACATCACAATAGTCACTAGTGTCCAATCAAAAAAATCGTATTCCTCATTTTCCTTGGCAAATTGTAGCCTTCATTACAATGAAGTTTTTGTATTTCCTAATAAATGAAAAACAAGACTATGTTCTTCTTTTTACTGGCGTTTCACTGTTCAATGCTAACAGTTTTATCAAAGTATTATTAAACCAGAATTGACAAAATCTCAGCTTGTATATATAACAACTTAATCATCGTTCATCAGCGTGGCGGAATTTTCACGTAGTCAATTTGCCTAATTGGTGAGGATAACAAATCCATCTGTGCAGATTGTTGGGGATTTGATAAACGTATAAAATTATAAAAGCAACATGTGTTTAAACAATAAAATTGCTTATCACATTCGTGTTGATTTTATCATCTGATGAGGGAGCGGGTGTTGTAACCAGGTCAAATTCTGTTTTAGTCCACCATTCCTACTCAGACAATTTGGATTCCATTGATATGAAGTACTTCTGACATTAGACTTTCTTTGTGATTTCGTTTCATTTTTCATTCATTGCGAAATACAGAGATCCTTTATTTTAATGAGTATCACATATCTAATGCCCGAATTTTTTCAAAAGGTTAAAAGTAAACTTGGTTTGGACATATATAAACTGTAGTCCATTCAAATTTCAAACCCTCACCTAGCACAACGGTGTTTCAGTGGTAAAATCCTTGATCACCACGTAAGCGGTTCGGATTCCCTTACCCGCCGAGGCATGCACGTACTTCGTATAGGCACTAGTGGAGAGTAAGATCGGGAAAGAGGGAAGATACGGCATGGGGTTACCGACTCAACCCATTCCCCATAAGACTGCAGAGTTTGAATCTTTATGTTCCACGAAGAAAGCAAGGAATGAAAAAAACTTCCTAGAAATGTGTATACAACGAAAGTGTCTTCCGCAGTAATCTGTTTCATGAACGACAGCTTGTAACACTAAGCAGAACCTTTCACCAATTCATGAAAATAATTGTCCACAAAACATAGTCATATTTCTTGCAGTTGTTCCCTACGATGAATTCGGACGAAAAGATTAATTCAATTTATCATTTCATAGGGGTTCCATTCGCTGCAAAATCGATTTTATCAAGGAACCAACATCATTTCGAGGGAACACTGAAAATCCGTGAGCAATGGATGCCTATTTCGTCCTAGTTTGGTATTCTCAGGTAATACACACCCGCGACCTCACCACTACGGATAAAACTCAGGACTTCATCATGAACTGACACTGGTTAGAGAGCCATGGGAAAACTTGCAGGAGTCAGTAGGGTACAGCAGGTTGAGCATCAAGACATTCTTCGGTAGTCACTTTACGTCGTAAATTGGCAGAAGTTGGAATTCATGGGCTGGTTATAAGATTGGGTACCAGTGGTTAATAGTCTGCGAACTCTCTAGTCTTGGGTTTGAATCCCAGTGGGGTGGGTGCGTACTGATGAGGAGACCCACACTGGATGGTTCTTGAACCGACATCAGGTCATGATGAAATCCTGCAATCAACCAAATCAAATCCCTACAAACCAATACTTGAAAAGCGAGGACCTTCAAGTTTCAAGACGAAGCATGTCGAACATTCAGATACTTAGGCCAGAACTTAGTGTGACCCTCGCATTCTTACTTTGTCAACTCGTGACATAGAGCTATCCTCAACCAGTGTCTTTGATAAGCAACCAGTTAACTATGACATAATGGACCCTACTGGTCGTCGCTTCTCATCACAGCTTCAAAACTTCCAATTGGTAGCAATCAATGAGCTGGAGATTGCTTGTGAGATTATGAAATGTTTTAGGGATTAAGCCTAATTTCAGTCGCTGGATTTCGTCACAACCAACGTGAATAATCAGTTTCACATAGTTTTTAGACACACTTAAGGTTAGCAGGATGTTCTTTGCATAAAAAGTAGAACAAAATACCGGAAACGAATTTAAGGTAAAAAAAGTGATACAGGAAATTAGCATGATGAACTCTGAACAGGATGTAGACTTAATGCATCATAAAAAGTAGATCACACACATAAATGGAAGCAGTTGCGTAATCATGTGAAAGATTGTTCAACGGATAACAAAGGTAGCAATAAAAGTAGTAAGGAAATGTGTGAATGCAAATTACAATAAAATTACGTCAAAAGTGAAAGGAGTCTTTGATGTGTTAAAATGAGAGTTGTCATCTCTTAATAAGGCAATAGTAAGTTAGCCTATTACTTAGTTAAACTATAAGGTGAATTCATCTTATCCAACAAAGACAGCGAAGACAAGACTCCGAGTGAACACTGAGAAGATGGAGGGGATGAAGATAACCAACCAACCAACCGACCAACAGCAACAACAAACAGCATCAACCACTATCAACGGGAAAGATTTGACAGAAGTAACCTACTTCACTTATCTAGGAAGCATTGTTTCAACCACAGGCAGTCCTCTCAGATGATGTTAAAGCAAGCCAACCAGATTCGAAAAGGCAACCTACACCTTCACCGGTCCGAAACCAGTATGAAATCTTCTGCAATCAGTCAGCCAGCATAAACAACAAGATTCGGGATCTCAACACAAATGTGAAGTCAGTCAGTCACTTCTTGTATTTGGGTCAGAAACGTGCACTGCGTGTCACGAAGAAAATTTGCAACGGGCTACTGCACACGTTTATCATCAGCTGTCTACGCTGGCACCATACTAAAGATCAAATGATGGGTCAGAAGGAATTAACAACACGGAATTCTGGCGATGAACAAACCAACCAAGAACCTATCGTTCAAGAAATATTACAAAATTACAAAGTATAAGCAAGAGTTTGATAGATAGGTAGTAGCACTATTCTAAAACTACATGCATCTAAGAACAGCTGAGGCTCTGGTGTTCCAAAAACCTAAAGCCTACGCTGTGTGTCTTGAAAATAAACACATTCAACCGTTGTTCCTACCGTGGCCATCATGAAAAGTCAGTCCTACCAATAACAATTATCCTATTATCTTTCTTGTCCAAACTTCTTGTTAATTTCTGTTAATTTTTACGATTTTAATTCTTATTTGCATTAATTGATTTGGTTGCCGTTTTTTTTTAAATTCTTCTATTTCCTAACTTCCTACCTATTTTGTTAATACTGCATCGTTAATGCGTAATTACACAAACTGACAAGTTTTTCCAGTAATTATGATCTTATTGTGTCTTTTTTACTCAACCTTCCTGATTATTACGCTTTGTAATCCTGTCAACTTGACTTTTGACCGAAGACAATTCTCGAACTTTCCCACACATTTACCACAAATGGACGAATATAAAGCGTAGTTAATGTCTTCGTCGAAAAAGGAAAATTGTCTTCGCTGCAACCGTCTTTTCAATGATATATGTAGGCAAATTATGCAGCCATATTCATAAATTCATATGGTAACGAGCAGTAAGTTATTCTCCAAACGTCATCCAGCTGTCAATAATCTATCACTCACTATGCGTTATATCAAATAAACTTATCCAGTGGGGAATTACACTCCACTACAGCGGCTAAGCTACATACGTTTGTCGAAATATTTCGAAGGAAAACCTGAAGAAATGCTAGCACAATTGCTGGGGAAGATGAGGAATGAATCAATCACTTCCTTCGAATAGTTTAAGCAACTACTAGCTCCAGATTCTGTAATTCCTTTGTTATCTGGCCTCCTAAAAGTGCTCAAAGAGAATGTTGTACTGCGGCTAATCTTGGATACGATGAATTCACTACTCGATGCTACTGATAAATGGCTCACCGACATCATTCTACCTGCCAGAAATAATCCCATTCATCAAAGTATATCAGATGTATTCTAGAAAGAAAGGTATCTTTTGATGTTACGTTTCTCTTCCCTAATTTTCCTCTCACTGCAACTACTTGCTTAGTATCCAAATTTATGAGGGATAATAAGTTGAACGTGGGTACTTCAATCCACTACTTAAAGGAACTTATACTGGGATTCTTTTTCAGAGTTCAGCCCACGTTCAATGAAACAAATTATTATTCCCTAGAGTTCTGAGTGAAACATAAATCTTCAGGTTGAACAATTAATACATCGTTTTTTCCATTGTGTTTGTATGGTTGGGGGATTCCATCATGACCTGACATCATTTAGAGAACCATTGGAAAACTCTCCGAGAGTACTGGAATACAGCTCTTTCATCAGACTAGTCTGCGACTCTTCATCAGTATGCACTCTCCACAAGGTTATGAACCCAGGACTTATGGTTACAAGGCTAGCGAGCTAGTAGACCATTAAGCCACTTGAGCCCGATTCAACGGCCACTTCGCACTGTCTTCTTCAATGAGTTACTGCTTCGCCTTTATGAATTGGCAGAAGTTAGAATTCATGAGTTGGCCATTGGATTGGGTGGAGCCCAGTGGCTTAAGGTTCTACAAGCTGGTCAGCCTTGTAACTCAAAGGTCCTGGGTTCGAACGACAGGATAAAATGGCTGTCCAGTAATCCCTGCAGGTTTCCCAATGGTTCTCTAACTGATGTCAACTCATGATGAAATCCTCCAACTAATACAACTTAATTAAGATGGATCTTCACAGAATGTATCGTCATACGAACACAACTTATAATCATACTGTTGTCTTCGATGACTTTAAGACTAATACCATTCATTGTTGCATGCGCTCAAAATGAAACATACTCATGCAATATACACTGACTAACAGATTACCTTTCTTCCACTTGAATAAATAACAGATTTAAGAATAGTTGTATTGAATTCTGTTACTTCAGCTTCACTATTCCAAAATACGTGTTGAGATTCTAATCTGCTTTCTTGTCCACGTAATGCAGCCATGTGACTGTGACGTTGATATTGAACTAATTCAAGTTTTGTTAAATCTTCCAGAAGTATTTGTCCTTCAGGTCCAATATGATATAGGGAGACATCAGATTCAGGATTTGCATCTGCTGTACATTCTAAATTTAATATTTGGCCTAATTCACCGGAAAGTAGATCATTCATTGGAGTTAAAAAAGCTGGACCATCTACAAGGTGAAAAAAAGACAAAAAACAGAAGAATATATGATCAGAATAAAAGTATGAAACTTGCGCACTGTGGTAGAGTATAACTCCATTATAGATAAGATTTTATTTTGATAAATCACACAGTGTTTGTTGTACAGTAATATTAACTAATGACCACGTTTCGAGTACAAAATATTGCTCGCAGTCATATCAAGACACTCACAAAATTTTCTTGCTTCATTTATATACATGAGTAAAAATTGATGATTAGACATTTGAATAAAATCAACAATATAAGATAAAGTACATTCAGAAATAATAATATTAGTGTTATCAATAAAATACAATCAGATGGGGAATAAGATGTTTTTTATAGTAAAATAAATAATTAACTTGTTAGAATGTTATCATGTGAATTGAATTGAATACATTTTAACATTATTTATCATCCTCCTCTGATTTGACTGGTGGTAATAATATCTTCCATACCTCAGGTGTCTGCGTTGAGTGATTTCTGTTACATGTGTTCGGCGTAGATTCACTCGATGAACCAGAATTCAGTAATCAAGCACCTCTCTCTCAATCCACCTACCTATATTACTTTTTAGAATTTTGACTCTGTCCCACTCACCCTATTGTGTGGTTGTGTGTTAATGCATGCAGTGCGATTGCTGAGTTTCTTTTTCTAAATTACTTATCTTTGTGGGATCAATCATTCTAACTTCAGCTAAACTCTTATGTTCTGATAATCTCACTACTCTCGATCTACTAGTTTGACTGACCTATGCAGTTGACCTCACTCACAGTTATTGCAAAACATCTTGTAAATCACATTATTTTGTCTAATTGGGTCAACCTACAGGATCGCTTAGCTTACAGACCTTGTCCCGTCTGAGTGAGTTTGTAGGTTTATATGCCACTCTACTTCCTGCTTTATTGAGAATCCTACGTAGGGTCTCAGGTGTCCCCTACTTATATGGTATAACAGTAGATGACTTATATTCTCTCTCATTTATGTTATCATTATTAGTTTCATCGTTATTTTTATTTTGCTTTTGACCTTTTCTGATCTTCCTAATGAATTTCATAGGATAGATTTATAACACCAACGCTTCTTCGATCTATTTCATTTCATCACTTAAGTTTTTTGTTGTACTACTTAGTGCTATGGCTCGGTTTGTCAGACACTTCACTAAGCCTGCCTTAACTGTTAACGGATGAGACGAATTAAAGTCTAAATATCTATTGGAATGCGTTGGTTTTCTATAAACACTAGTGTGTAGTTTGCCTTCTTCTATTCGTTTTATCTTACAATCTAACATGGTTAATTCTCCTTGTTCATTTTCTGATTCAAATGTGAATTTTATTCCTTCTACTTGTGAGTTTATATGTGTTAGGAAGCTAGAGATATGTTCTGTTTTTAACACTGTGAATGTGTCATCTACATATCTCCACCATATTTTTGGCGTTGGATTGAATGTATTAAGAGCACTATTTTCCCAGCTGTCCATAAAAATATCTGCTACAATAAGGGATATTGGTGATCCCATGGCTACACCTTCTGTTTGTCTATATATTTTGCCTTGGAACTTGAAGACAGTAGAGGTGAGGCATAACTGAATCCCTAAAATAATTTCTTCAATGGGCAGCTTTGTCCTATGACTAAGTTCGGAATCAGAAGTTAGTTCTCTTTTAACCGCTTCTAAGGCCATATTGACTGGTATATTAGTTAGCTTTTTATAAACGCTAGCGTGCACTTTACCTTATTCTATTCGTTTTATTTGACAATCTAACATCATAGCTAATTCTCCTTGTTCATTTTCCGATTCAAATGTGAATTTTGTTCCCTCCACTAGTGAGTTTATATGTATCAAGAAGCTAGAGACATGTTCTGTTTTTAACAGTGTGACAGTGTCACCCTCATATCTCCACCATATTTTTTGGAGTATGATTAAATGTGATTTATCAAAATTAAATCTTTACGTAACAAAATCTGAGATAGCAAGCTCCGACCTTAATAGGTAACTTAGTTGTAGCTACATCACACATTTCGACGTCAGTCAAACAGCTCCTGAAAGCCTGAGAGTACTGGGTGTGATACTGCTCAGAAGTATGCACTTACCAACCTGACTAGGGTCTTCAGGTTACGAAGCCATCCTATCGACAATTTAACCACTATGGCTGAATCTAATGGTTTATGAATCCAGCCACTATACGATAGTGTTATCAACAAATGTCTGTCCCCATACTCGACTTGTGGGAACCTATAGGTTACAACTTTTCACTAGAACTGTAGGCAATTCGGCCCTTAGTCATTAGTATGTATGTCTTGAAAGTCTCAAAGTAGGAGCAAACAGCTCTCCACTACTACCCTCTTTTCATTGGCCTTTCAACTAACATCGATTCGTGATTTCACTTGGAATTAACTGAATTACTAAAAACGAAAACTTAGAGAGTGAATTAATTCTAATTAGCAAACCAATTTGTTATAATGATTAAGAATAGGAAGATAGTGTTGGACCTTGAATTTCAATTAGTGAGATACTTTGCATTTTTCAGCAGTTGTCAATGCTGCAGGCATGAAATATTGTCAAAGGTCACATGTATATAATTCACTTGAGGTAATAACTCAGATTTATTGTCACCATCATGAAGAATCATAATGACAGAGACTTAGTGAGAGCGTCACCGAACAAAATGCAGATGTTCATCAAAAACCTGTATTCCTTTGTTTGTTACTGAAGATAAGATGGTCAGATGAATACAGTAAACATAAAAGAACTCTGGCAGTTAGCCAACTAGCCAACAGTCTAATATCCAACGAATATGGAGAAGGATTGGACATACCTTGAGGAAACATTCGAATGCCATCACATGACAGGCTGTTGGTTAACAACCAAGTGAGATGGATAAGGTCATGTAACAATAGAGATGTAAACCTGTGAACTATCACTGGGTTAGCTAGCGGTCAGGTGAAGTATGGCAGTGCATCTACCTGGTATCGAACCCCAAACCAATCCCGTGGTTGGCCAGTGGCTTTACTCATGCACTCCTTACGCACATCTGGAAATGAAAATCTCCAATTTGTTTCTTAAATAAAACTTTATTCTTTTAATTAGTTAAATTTTATTCAATCTAACATTTTGCCTCACTCCCTAACTTTGTCTCTCCATCTCTCCATCTCTCTTTTTGTCTCCCTTCTTTAGATCTTAGTATAATAATAATAATACTAATTCTGCCCCTTATTATTTTTTGTCAATTAAAATTGTGTTTTTTTTCTCTCATTGACTATTTATTCTTCTTAAATCTCCCTAATTCTTCTGCTACTTCTTCTCCCGCTCCTCGTCCTTCTCCATCTATCGTCTTCTTGTTTCACTCATGCTATGCGTGTGAGCATTTTTATGATGGAATTTGATTTCATTCCATTTTCATTTTCATTTTCATTTAGTTAGTTAGTTAGTTAGAACAATGTTCTCAGATTTCTCTTTTTTTCTTCTTTCTATTCATTGTCTTTCTCTCTGATACTCTTTTGTTAACTCGCTCTGTGTACTCATTTATATACGTGTGTATTGTGAAGTAAATGAAACAAAGTCTTTAAGACAATTGTTGAATAGCACAATGTAATTTTAAGTTTTGTTTCGTGTCTAGGTATACAGCATTCTATTTGAACAGCTGGTCGTAGTATTGCTTCTATCATAGTTTTTGACCAAAGCTTTTATTATATATTTTGCATATATATTAAGATATCTTTAAGACCTTAGGTCCAGAAAAGTCTATAGAGATGCGACTTTAAGTGAACATACAGAAAGAAGACACCTGTAACGACAATATATATATTATTATATTATTAATATTGTATCCTTTAATTCCTGCAGGAACATAGGGCTTCAGCCGTGCGTCTCAATTGCGTTCGGTTCTCTACTAGGGTCTTCACCTGGCACCATGTCTGCCCGCACGTTTTCATCTCCTCTTCACATGACCTCCTCCAAGTCACCCACCCTTGCACTGACGACCAACTCGCCGCTTCCCTTTCGGGTTCCACTCGAGCGATGGCTTGTCCAGTGATGTCACTTGATGGTTTCCTCAGAGTATGGCCAGCCAATTCATCTCCATTTCTTCCTGCCTATTTGTTTCACAATCGGTTCCTGCTGTGTTGGTTCGCTCCCAGAGATCTCTATTGCTGAAATTTTCTGGCTGGCCATCTGATCTTGAGTATTGAGCGAAGACAACTGTTAATGAAGGTCTGTAGTTTGTTTGAGATGCTCTTTATGACGCGCTGGTCAAGACGCTGATCCGTATAGTAGCACCGACTTACTTCACATTGGAGTTGAAAATCAGGATCTTATTTTTGATGCTGAGTGTTGTTGACCTCCACACAGACTTGAGAGTAGTGAAAGCTTGTCTTGCTTTCCCGATCCTTGCTTTGATATCCTCGTCAGTTCCGCCTGTAGTTGAAACGATGCTTCCCAGGTAGGTTAAAGAAGTTGTTTCTTTCAGGTTCCTCCCATTTTTGCTGATCTTTGTGTGCTGTTTTTGTTGCTGTTGGTGGTGTTGCTCAGGAATTTTCATCACCTCTGTTTTATCTATGTCCACCTGAAGTCCTATCTTTGATGCTTCTTCTGCCAACTTGTTGCTTTTCGCTTGCATGTCTTCCAGTTATATATATATACATATATGTAAACCAATCACCATCACTGGGAGAGTTTCAAAGAAAGGTACTTCTTTAACTTATCTAGGCAGTTATGTATCGACTACGGGAGACATGGATGTGGATATTTCAGAAGCAGCTGGGGTTCAGAAAGCAAGGCAGACATTCATTAAATCTTAAATCTTTCTGAAAACGACTACTGTACTCAACATACTGAACAGTGTTCAGATTAGCAACGCTAATGTTAAGTCAGTTTTTGTGCATAGTTTAGAGATTTGATGCAAGTGTCACAAAAAACAATTCCTACAGGCTAGTGGAGAGTTAAACATCAGATGACTACTGAAAAAGGATTAAAAAAATAGTCTAACTGGA